GTATAGTGAGTTCCAGGCCAGCCTGGTCTGTATAGTGAGTTCCAGGCTAGCTAGAGCTACACAGTACACAGTGAGACCTAGTCTCAAAGAAAAAAAAAAAAAAAAAATCAGGGGGTCCAGAGCTGGGGTTTCATAATTGCTCAGGAAGCAGTTCTCATTTGCTTTTGTTATCTCTCTCCTGTAAGACACTAGTGTGGGCTAGGGATAAAAGCCAGAGGTAGATCACTCGCCTGACATGTACAGGGCCCTAAGAATTCCCAGAGAAAACACTAGTGTTTACATTCATAATTCCTAGATGCAGTCCCTGCCCCCTTGCCTTTGTGGACACTCCTATGCCAGTATTGCAAACTGCTTGTCTCTGATCCCCCTATTGCCCTGGATCCCTGATAAAGCCTAAGAAATCTCTGCTGAAGTTTGGTGACAATAGCTAATGTTTAATAGGGCCCTCATAAAGGGCTCGTCATTGGCTTGAATGTGAGTATTGAGACTTGTCACCTGCTGCGTGGATGACCTCATTCTCTTCCCTTTCATTCCCCCCCCCCCCCCGTGTCTGGGGCCTTCGTTGCAGCTCTCCAACTGTACCTGTGATATGAGGTTATTCTGGTTCTGTTCCTATATCTACCCTCTGCTCCCGCTGCCATTTTGCAAGAGGCCCCTGAAAGCTACTAAATATTTCCACCAGGTCTTGCTCACTGACCCATTCCTGTGGCAACTGCTTACCCCTGCATCTCTCCTCTCTCCACAGGTGTCTCCAGACAGTACGAGACTCTGAAGACTGCCCAGCCCCTAACCCAGCTGCATTTACCAACCGAGCTTGCCCCTAGCTCACCCACCTGCCACTCCCTGGCCCCTCCCACCACCCGCCCTCACCCCGCTGGGGTACAGGGCATGGTGTGAAAGGCTGAGTACAGAGGCGGGCACCATGGGTGCTGTACCCTAGGGCCTGGGTGGCGGGGGGTGGGTGGCCTGTGGGCGTGGGGGGGGCAGTGTGCCCACCCCAGTCTCTTGGCGTGCTGGAGGGCATCCTGGATGGGATTGAAGTGAATGGAACAGAAGCCAAGCAAGGTGGAGTGTGGGTCAGAGCCAGAGGAGAACAGGTAATGAATGGGTCTGGCAACTCGGTAGCAGCTACTCATAGCAGCAGGCACGGGTGGCTCTCTGGGCAAAAGAGGCGGTCTCTGATTCAGACACTGACCTTTAAGCAGCCCCGGAGCTGGGTATGAGGGCATGCTCATAGGTCTCAGGGCATTAGGCACTTGGACTGAGAGACACTTCAGGTGGCCCCTTCCTTGGTAGTGTTGGGCAGCTTCAGATGCCCCTCACTGTCCCCACTCCATTGCTGCCCTCACTGGAGCGTGTGTGATCCCCATGGCCTTGCCATCTCTGCTTCTTCCTCCCGGTGCATTCACCATCTGACCACAAGCAAGCATGCTGTCCACAAGCCTTGGTGCACATAACATAACATTTCCGGGCACAGGCACCAATAACTATTGGTCACAGCCCACACATATTTTTGGAATCTATTGGAGACCCCACACGCTCTTCCTCGTTCATGGTCAAAGGTGGGGTACCGCCATGGAGCTCCTCCCAGGAAGTAGACGTGCACTCCCAACTATGAAGGCTTTGCTCACGCATGGAGGAGGCGTTTCATCGGCACTGCCCTATGTGAGCTTAGAGGGTCCCTGCCTTCCCTATCGGCCCCAAGTGGCACAGGGATCTGTCCCATTTGGCATGGTGTCCCAGCAGCAGGGTCCATCCTGTGCCTATAGCCAGGGAAATCATCGTAGGGGTGGGGTGCTCTGGGGAGGGGTGTAGCTGGCCGTTGTCTAGAAGACCAGATCCTGAGCCAGAAGACAGGAAGCTTGGCCAGGCAAAGCCCTGTGCCCAAGACTGGTTCTTTAGAAATAATAGGTGGAATCTGTGGCCATGTAGGTAGGGTGCTGGATCAGAAAGCCCCTTCCCCGAAAGCCCTGCTCTCACGCTTGGAATTATGAGACAGGCTGTCACCACGTAACTGTCCCTTGACCCTCCTCTATCTCCCTGCCCAGGCTTCTGGAAGAGCCTGCTCTTAGGTCTTATAAAAAGATAGAAATGAGGTTCCTAGTCCCCCTGAGTTGAGGTACCTCAGCTCTTAGCCCTCCCCTCCCCCACGGCTACCCGCCACCTCGTGGCTCTGTGTGGAACTGCACCCAAAGACTCTGAGTCTGGCGATAGCTGAAGAGCCAAGCAACTGGCCTGCTAGGGACCTGAGTGGTCTGAGTTTCCCTGCACTCACACAGCCGTCCAGAAGTCGGGAGGCGAGAGTGACCTTCCAGCCTTGTAGGAGCCAGACAGGGTTAATCCCCAGGGTGTGTGATGCACAAGGCTGTCTCTGTCTCTGACCGTGACCCTGGCCAAGGTCACTGTGTCAGTGTGTTGGGAGCCGCATCAGGCTCTAGGAGGAGGGGCCGTGCAACCTGGCACACACAGGGTGGGTGTGGGAGGTTATACAATCCTTGCATGCGTAGAGGCTTATGTAACCTGTGTGTACTGAGGTTATGTAACACGTATGTGGAAAGCCTGGCAACATATATGTGCGGTGGCCTAGAGTCGCTAATATTACCTTGCACAGGGCAGCTCAGGGTCCTTCCTCCCGGCTGATTCCAGGCATCACAGTGCACGGATGGCACCTCGGTTATCTGGTTTGTTAAACGGAGGCCGTGAACAGGGCGGTCCTGATATTTTCAGTTAGCGTGCGTCAATTTAGCGTGTGTGCACGACCTAAAGAGTGACCAACCAAGAGGTTCCCATCGGAGAGAGAGGGATGGCAACTGTTAGGTGCCCGTCCAGGGGGTTCTATAGCACGCGGGTACATCCTAGAAGTCATACCATACGCTGGAGACTGCACTGAGAGTCGCATGAATTTGTAGCTCTGAAAGCTTATTACCATACTTGGCTTTATGCTGAAGGCTGCATAGTCATTCACATGCGTGGGTTTCATATTGCATATATATATATATATATATATATATATATATATATATATATATATATGCATTCTAAAGGTTACATAGCTTCAAGAATCTTCCAAAGAGCACTTCAGCATATGTGGCATATATTAATGGCCTAACTATGTGAATGTCCTGTGTGTGTGTGTATATTTTGGGGTCTCGCAACAATACTTGTCTGTGCGAATGTGTTGGGGCCCCATCCAAGCCCCTTATCTCTCCTGTGCAGCTACCGGATGGCTAGACCCTTCTAAGCTTTGTCAGCTGATATAGGGGTGGGAGGCAGAAGGGGGGCATAAGATGGAGAAAACCAGTCCTGGGGGGAGGGGATGGGGATGGGGTGTGGCAGCCCCTTAGATGAAAAGGGACTTCCCAGAGGCGATTCTGTGATTCTGCCCACTTTGCCCCGCACAGTGCCAGGTCACCAGATGGAAAGCGAAAAAGAAAGAACGGCCAATGTTCCCTGAAAACCAGCATGTCAGGTGAGCCTCCTGGCTATGTGTCCCCCTCTTCCTACCCTTGCCCCTGCAGAGGACACTTGGCCTCCTCCAAGGCTAGGCCTGGACCCACTATGTCTCTGGAGGGGACCATTGACAGAATGTGGGTTGGATTTGTACGGGAGTGAGAATGGTGATTCAGAACCTGTCCTGGCCTTTGAGGAGGATTTAGGTCAGGAAGGTCCTCTTTTGCCCTCTTATAACCTCTTCACCGAGGGTTCCACCAGCCTCAGGGTGTCTCCTAAGCTGAGGTGTTTCTCCTCTCAACCCACTATGCTATTCTGTCACTTAGATGTAATGCTGGAAAAATAAATAAATAAAGCCCTAGCCAGGCCAAGTACAATGGCACCTACTTGCCGTTATAGCTGTTTGGGAAAGTGACATAGGAGGAGCACTTGAACACAGGGGTTCAAGGCCTGCCTGGGCAACGTAGTAAGACCCAGGCTCAAAAATAAATACATGGAAGCGGGGAGGGGCCCTGCATGGACAGTCCAAAGAATGAGGATGTCTGAAGGGAAAGAGAGGGGTAACCTCTCCCCCCCTCCTCCCGCCACAAGTCTCCAGGATTTTTCCCTTTCTGTTCTGAGATAAAGAACCCTTCGATGACACTGGGCTGGGAGATGAATGAGAAAGGCAGAGTTGGGTGGGCACGGAACGGCGCTCCTCTGCCGGGCTCCACCCCATGCCTCCACTTTCTGCCCCTCCCCAGGGTATATCCCTAGTTACCTGGACAAAGACGAGCAGTGTGTCGTGTGTGGGGACAAGGCAACTGGCTATCACTACCGCTGTATCACCTGCGAGGGCTGCAAGGTAGGAGCGGATCATCTCCTGTCCCTCTCCCGTCGCCCAAACCCCTTTGGGTCTCTGCGTCTGGCACAGCAGTCTCTTTAGATATGTAAGCTAAAGCGTTACCGGACATGTCATTCTTCTTCTCATCCATTTGTTCACGCTTAGTCCTTGCCGTGGTGACACTCGTGTGCCATTTGTCTAACCTCTGTGAGCCTCAGTTTCTTCACTGATAAAATGGGGATAATTATGCTAACTTTATTACAGAGTTTAATAAGCGAATTAAATGAGATAATTCATCAGGCGTGGCTTTCTGTAACTACAAAGGGATGGGGGAAAGGGTACGGCAGAGGTAAGAATTATGACTTTGATAGAGAGTCTTTAAAATAGTTCCAAGTACCTAAGAACACTTAGGGCCAGACGTCATCCATCCTTATAGTGTGTTAGGAATAAGGGTTGTAAAGTCAAGTATAACTCCAACACTTGAGAGATGGAGGCACAATGAGTTCAAGGCCACCTTGGGATATATAGTTGGTTCTGGGCTAGCCTCAGCAACATAGGAAGACCCTTTCTCAAAAAAAGCATGTCTGGCACGGTAGCACACACCTTCCATCCCAGCACCCTGGTAGCACAGGCAAGCTGATGCCTGAGAGCTGAAGCCAGCTTGATTTACCAGCCAAGGCTACACAGCATAGACCCTCTCAACCAACAAAGAAAGAGCGGGGGTTACGGTTCACGTCCTCCTCTCAAGCTATTTGCAGTCTGCCCAAGAAGCAGCCTGCAAACAGGAATCAGCACCTTTCAGAACCTGGATCATGGAGGTTTGAGGAGTAGGCCCCCTGAGGGGGCAGGGGCTGCGCTTGCCACACAATCACCAGTATGCGAGTTAAGACCCCCAGCTTCCACACAGAAAGCCAGGCATGGCAGCGTATCCGTCTGTAATCCAAAACCGTGATGCAGAGACAGGAAGTCCCTCAGGGCATACTGGCTAGCCTGGCTAGCTCCTCAGTAAGCGCCGTAGTGAGTCCCTGTGCCAAAGCCAAAAGGAGATCAAAAAGGTGGGGAATGATCGAAGAGGATGCCAGATGTTGACCTGCTACCACACACATTCACGCACACACACACACACACACACACACATGCACACATGTGATTCCTGGGTCACTTGTACTTCTTATAATTCAGATTCCCAAGCTGCATACATCCCTACTTAGTCCAAACCTTAAGGTGGCTGAGCCCAGGAATAATCTGCTTTTAACAAGATTCCCAGGTGCTCCCGAGTACCTGAAAAGATGAGCATCTGAGCTGAAGGGTCATGATGGGGACGTAGAGGAGAAGATGACCAAAGGTTCTTTGTAGCAGAGGGTCAAAGGCCACAGGACTTGGAAAAGCCTATAGATTCAACCTGTTTCAGCCTGTATGGCTTTTCCGGGACCACAACCTCCTACAAATACAGGTCTTTCCAGAAAGAGATCATTTAAAAGTGAGTGAAACCAGGCATGGTGATACATGCCCATAGTCCCATAGTCAGAAGATGAAAGCAGAAGGGTCAGAAGTTCAAGGCCATCCCTCAGCCAAATAGTGAGTTTAAGGTTATCTGGAGTTACATAGGACTCTCTCTCAAGCCCAGACGTTGGTGGCACCCTTAATCCCTGCACTCAGGAGGCAGAGGCAGGCAGATCTCTGAGTTCAAGAGGCCAGTCTGGTCTACAGAGTGAGTTCTAGGACAGCAAAGTCTACACAAAGAAACCCTGTCTCAGAAACAAAAACAAAGCACCCCTCCAAAAAAAAGCTTCCCTCAAACTAACACACAAAGGCATACACACACAATGCGGGACCTTGACGTTTGTCTTCATGTCAGCCAAACCAAAACCCATTGAGATTCCAAGTTTCATAACAGTGTTCCTGGAAATAACAGGATAACATAGTTGAGACCAAAGATGTCAGCTTCAAGGACATCTACGTTCCCGGGGAACATCCTCCCCAAACAGAGGTGCTCCTCTCCACTTCTAGTGTTTGCTTTTGTAGGTTTAGAGTGAGGCCCAGCAGTATCTTGGTGCAGTAACTTTAACTCACCTCAGATCTGGACTCTCAGACTTCAGAGTTTCCTCCTGAAGGCCCAGTTCTGACATCGAGGTTAAATGTAACAGGCGTGAAAGGCACATGCCACGAGAGAGGCATATGCCACACGTCTGTCACATAGTAAGATTCAACAAAGACTAAAGCAACAAATTGAAAAAAAAAATTATAAGCTGTTAGTGTTCCCACACTCATTCTCTTGAATATTGATCTTCCTATTTCATAAATCCCATCTGCACGGGTGATAGGCAAGATACTGTAGATGAGAATGCTTTTGGGATCAGCATTGCTTTTAGAGTCGTTAAGCAAGAAAGCCAAGGTACTAATTGGCCTTTCTAGGGCTGGCGATGCAGCTCTTGTTAGTTGACTGCTTGCTGAGCGGGCACAAATCCTGGGTCCCACGCCTAGCACTGCAAAAACCAACGGTGGCAGCATGTGTCTGTAATCCTGTCACTGCAAAGGTCAGAAGGTCAAGGTCATACTTGGCTACATGGCCAGTTTGAAACCAGCCTAGGAAACCAGAAACATGTCTTGAAAAATATATACTTTTTGTTGTTGCTTTGCTTTGCTTTCGAGATAGGTTTCTCTGTGTAGCTTTGGCTGTCCTGGAACTTGCTTTGTCGACCAGGCTGGCCTCGAACGCACAGAGATCCACCTGCCTCTGCCTCCCAAGTGCTGGGATTAAAGGCTTGTGCCACCATTCCCCAGGATAATACATTTAAAAAAGTTATTTAAAGCAGACTAGTAAGAGCTCATAGAATGTCACTCCAGGGCAGGCCCGATACTGCCTACTACACCACAGGCATTTCTCATCCCTCTGCAGCCCAGGGTTAAGGGCATCTATTTCTCAGGTCTTTTGGCCCGGCAGGGGTCCAGCAACCCTGGGCCTACAAATGACCTGAACACGCTAGGCGACACTTGCTTCCCTTACCCCACGCCTACTCGATGCTCTGTGAGGTTGCGGTCAGGAGAGAGAGTCTTCAGTGATGGAACCCTGCTCCATCTGCCCCACCCCCTAGGGCTTCTTTCGCCGCACAATCCAGAAGAACCTCCATCCCACCTATTCCTGCAAATATGACAGCTGCTGTGTCATCGACAAGATCACCCGGAACCAGTGCCAACTGTGCCGCTTCAAGAAGTGCATCGCCGTGGGCATGGCCATGGACTGTAAGAGGCACCCGAGGGTCAAAGGACTTAGGGAGCCGTGCGGGGGCTGAGCACAGTCCCTGCCTGGGTGCCTTCGGGGCAGGGGTGATAGCCAATCCAGGCTGGGCTGATCCTAAAGTCTTGATCCCAAATCCCGAAGGAGGTAGAACTCCCATGGAGGCGTGATGCTTTTTGCTGTTTTGAGGGCCTTCGAGAGGGAGCTGTTGAGTAAAGACTCCCAACCTAGCAGGGGTCCTGCTCCCCAGGGAAGGCACCTCTAAGTGGGGACATCCTCGACTGTGGGTTGGGTGGCAGGGTCAGCTAGCGACTCCCCGCCCCCCCCCCCCCCCCCCCCCAGCTCAAAGCAGAACACGTGGTTCCTTGGGCCACCTAGCTGGCGTTGATTGCTAGCACCCGATCGCTAAGTGATTTGGGAAGCCACTTGACCTTTGGACCAGAAACGTTCATTTCTGAGCATTGCAAAAAGTGTTGCGGGGCCGGAAGGGCTGCCGTGCAAAGTGTCTTTTGGTCTGTCAACAGTGGTTCTAGACGATTCCAAGCGGGTGGCCAAACGCAAGCTGATTGAGCAGAACCGGGAGCGAAGGCGAAAGGAGGAGATGATCCGATCGCTGCAGCAGCGGCCGGAGCCCACTCCGGAAGAGTGGGATCTGATCCACGTTGCGACGGAGGCCCATCGCAGCACCAATGCCCAGGGCAGCCATTGGAAGCAGAGGCGAAAATTTCTGGTAAGAAAGCATTGCTTGCCTCTCCCGAAAGCCTCTTTGGCTTAGTCCAACCCAAAGCTGGCGCTCTGTACCCGCTGGCAGTTCTGATGTGGTGTGTACATGCCGATGCTTTCTGGCACCTGCTCCCACCTCATCTAATGGGGTGCTAGGTGAGAACCAGCCTTACCCTTCTTTGAATTTCAAGGCAGTGCTAAGCCACGGGCCTGAGGGCCTAGTCACCTAACATTATTTTGAGATACCTGAACGGCTCCCTCCAGGCGTTTGTGTTGAACCCTCACAAAACTGACTGCCAAGTGGATGGTCTATTTGGAAGGAGATGGACCAGTGGGGCCTAGTTCCCTGGCAGAGGGTGCCAGGGGATGGAAAATGTACGAAGAGAAAGTTCCCCAACACCAAGCAGATGTGTTTGCAAAGGACTGATTGTGTGACTCTGGCCGTACTAACATAGCTGTGCTAGGCCTCTGTCTATGAAGTGCTGGCGGTCCTGTCTTTCATATTGATTTGTGCCAAGGATTATGAGGAACAGGTAGACAGCCTACAGCCTGGAGTCATGCTTTCCGTCATTGCGGCTGCATCTCTATTACGGTTTATTAATCACTGTCCTCACAGTTATCAGCGTTAGCAAGTTCGAAGTGCTTGCCCTGGTCTACCCTCTTCCCCCTGAAGCTGCAGCCTTGAGGGCAGGATGCAGCCATCCTGCACAATCACGCTGTGCCTTTTCCCCCCAAGCTGACTTAGAGCTCCCCCTGGTGGGCAGGGAATCCCAGAGAGCGCTTGGAAGGGGTCTGCAGCCCTGGCTGACCCCCTTCTCTCCCTCCAGCCGGATGACATTGGCCAGTCACCCATTGTCTCCATGCCCGACGGAGACAAGGTGGACCTAGAGGCCTTCAGCGAGTTTACCAAGATCATCACCCCGGCCATCACCCGTGTGGTGGACTTTGCCAAAAAACTGCCCATGTTCTCCGAGGTGAGTGGCAGATGGAAGGAGAGACTCTCTCGGGGTAACGCAAGGTCACGGAGACTCGCAGGGGTGTTCCTCTGGTGTTCTTTGGACGGGGAGTAACTTTTACAGACAAGTAGATATTCGGTACATGAGTGTACACACACACACACACACACACACACACACACACACAGTGACCATTCCGCCTCCAGGCAGCGTGACTCATCTCTTCATTCTGCATAGCTCTAACTGGAAACAGGCTCTTGCACTAGCTGTGGGACCCTGGCCAAGTCACCTACGGGCCCTGCACTTGAGTTTTTGAAAGGGACCTCAAGAATGACGGGACCTCACTCTTAGACATAACTGTGAGGTGTGAGCACAGTAGTGCGTAGGCGGGCACGGCCCAGTGCACCGTTGCGGTGGGGGGGAGATTGTGATTCCGGGCGGGCACTGGGAGGATGTGCTGAGTGGTCCGTGGTCCTGCTGTCCCGCAGCTGCCTTGCGAAGATCAGATCATCCTACTGAAGGGGTGCTGCATGGAGATCATGTCCCTGAGGGCAGCTGTCCGCTATGACCCTGAGAGTGACACCCTGACACTGAGTGGGGAGATGGCGGTTAAGCGGGAGCAGCTCAAGAATGGCGGCCTGGGTGTAGTCTCTGACGCCATCTTTGAACTGGGCAAGTCACTCTCTGCCTTTAACCTGGATGACACGGAAGTGGCTCTGCTGCAGGCTGTGCTGCTCATGTCAACAGGTATCTCGCCGTGGCTGAGAGGTTCCGGAAGCTCTCAGGGGGGCTCTAGAGTATATCTCCATCCCAGGCTTCTTGCTTGCCCCCTTCCTCCATCCTGCATGGGTACTGTCTCATTCCTTCCCTCCCAGGCTCCCTCTCTGCATCCCAGATGATCCTTTGAACCCCACTTAGCTGATGCTCATATATGGATTTGCCCTCATGTTTAGTCTGACCACCAACCCTCTCTTGGCCCATTCTTCCTCTCCTCCTCTGTCACCAGCTTCCCTCTGTTGTCAATGCCATCTTTCCATATCTCTGCCCTCCTTATGGATCACTTCCTATCCCCAGGCCCTCAATGTCCCTCCCAGAGCCCCAGTCACCTCTTCCTCCTGCTAGGTGGCTGCTCCTGCCCACGTCCCTCAGCCCCTATTCTCTTTCGCCCTCGGCCTCCCTGCCTCAGTGTCCCCTTCATGCCCTCCCCCATTTTTTCTCCTGTGTTTTTCTCGGCCCCTTGGCATTCACAAGTCACGCCTCTCTCCCTGCAGACCGCTCCGGCCTGCTTTGTGTGGACAAGATCGAGAAGAGTCAGGAGGCGTACCTGCTGGCGTTCGAGCACTACGTCAACCACCGAAAACACAACATTCCGCACTTCTGGCCCAAGCTGCTGATGAAGGTGACTGACCTCCGCATGATCGGGGCCTGCCACGCCAGCCGCTTCCTCCACATGAAAGTCGAGTGCCCCACCGAACTCTTTCCCCCACTCTTCCTGGAGGTCTTTGAGGATCAGGAAGTCTAAAGCCTCAGGCGGCCAGAGGGTGTGCGGAGCTGGTGGGGAGGAGCCTGGAGAGAAGGGACAGAGCTGGGGGCTGAGGGAGAACCCCCCCACCTCTTCTCTCCTTCCTCCCATCCTTGGATAGATGCAGCTCCCACACACCCCTGCACTGCCCAGTCCCCTCAGAACCTCCAGCCCTCGGACAGGGCAACAAATGAACTTGCTATGAAAGACAGTCTGGGAGGCTGGAACCTAAGTCCTAGAGTTTCTGGGATCCCAACCTCTAAGAAAGTAGGGGAAGGGAGGAAGAACTAAGAGGGACAAGCCATCTTGACTATAGGGTCAGGAGGAATGAGGAATAGGGGCAGATGCCCTTACTCACCCCTATACACACAGGAGAGCCCTGCCAAGTTCCTTGGCCTAAATTTCCCATCAGGCCACAGGCCTCTACTTCCCCAAATACCTGGGTCCTGGGTGCAAAGGACAGCTTGGCTTGGTTTGGCTCCTCCCCTGGAGGCTAAAAATGGTAGTCATCCTAACTGCACTTTGGAAACCAAGCAAGGGGAGAATATAAATGAAGAAAAACTAGACAGAAAAAAAAAAAAAAGACAAAAAAGAGAGCGTTAGAGAGAGCGAGAGAGAGATGATATTAAGTTATTAGCTGAGGCTGGCCCAAGGGGAAGGACCCCCCCTTCCCACCCCCATGCACTTTGAGAGCTGCCCTTCCAACCCCCAGAAAGGAATGTCCCTAGCAGACCTACAAGGGTAGGGGCTGATCCGAGCTGTGAGGTGACACAACAGGGTCCTGGCACCCCTCCTTGCCCTGCCCCCACCCTTGTGCCCCTTTGGCACCATAACCCCAGTACTTCCTCTGCTCTCTGCCACTCGTGCCCGCTGAGTTCCATCTACCTCTCACGCTGGATGCCAGCTGGCCCCCTCACCAGCCTGCCCTGTTGCCCACACAGCTCCCCCTTTCAAGTGCCCAACCCCAGGGGCCTCCTGTCCCCCTCCTCCTATACCTTGGCATCCACACAGGAAAATCTGTGGCCCAGACTCCTTCCCTCCTCATATCCTGCAGTATTAGCTACAATCCAGATGCTGCTGCGTGGGGGGGGGGGGGGGGGAGTGGACATGTGCGTCTCCCAGAACCTCCACCCCTGTGAGACTCTTGTTTCCTGTCTGTCTTCTGGGCTCCCTTTGTCCTCTTTACCGACTCCCTCGCTGCACTAGCCCAGACTTAGGGCAGGTTGGCGTGCCACGGGAGTGTTTCTATCAGTGGCACTTAGTTAGGGCCCAGGGGAGGAGGCAGTTGGCACTCCTCCTGTTTTCTTAGAAGCTCTTTAGGCCAGCCACCCCTCTGCCCCTGGGAACCCTTTTCCCTCTTCTTTTCTAATTCAGGGACTTTGGCTTGAGCCACCTCCCACCCTCTGGTGAGGAGTGCTCTGTTGGTCTGCACTTGGGTGAGCTGCCCCCCCCCTTCCTCCCTTTGGCTACAGCCCACTCCTCTGCAGAGAGAGAGGGAGGGAGGAGGTGGCCCTCCTATGAGTGGGAGGGAAGGGAGGAGAGGGGGAAACAGCAGACCAGTGGCCCTGGGCTCAGGGCTGCATGTCGGCAGGGATGGATGGGTGGACATAGACGCCCCCCGGAAGCCATGGGGAATGGGGCAGGGGGCGGGGGAGGGGTGCCAGGGCTTCCCGCGCTTTGCACTATTGGGGCAAAAATGTCTTAAGCAGTGGGGAGCCTGCCACCCCACTCTGACTCTCAGCCTGCCACAGCCCCTACACACACACACACACACACACACACACACACATATACACACACATATACATGAGGAAGGCAATGCTTCGCTGTCCCCAGGGCAGTGTCCTCTGCCACTGTTCAGGTGTTCCAGCTGGGCAGAGGGCCTGGAGGAGCATCTCCTGTCACCTGCGCATGTGCCTGCCTCTGGGCCACCTGTGCTATCTTTGTCTCTATCCTCTTTCTCTCTCCTGGGGTCCTGATTTCTGTATTCCTCCAGTCCCATGGGTAAACCCTCTCACACTTTCCTCCCATACCTGGGGGCCCAGTGGAGTTCCTGACCTACCTGCCTGCTGTCTCCCCCCCCCACTTCCCGTTCCTCTGGCTCCACTCCTCCCCCCCACCCTCCATTCCTATTCTCAGCCATTGGGCATGGCCTCTGACAGGCACTTGGGAATCCCGCCCCCTCCCTTCCCCAATCATATGAGCTGTGAGCCCCTTCCCCTCAGTGATGTGGAGTGTACGTGTGTGTTCCCATGTGTGAATGTATGAGTGAGTACATGTCGTGGGAAGGAGCTAGAGAGACTCAGGAGTGCCACGCACCCGCTCTAGAGAGGCAGCTGTCCCAGTCCCTGCTGTGGAAGTGGGGGACAGGGCCCTCTCCTGGGGGCCATTGGTGCTAATGGGGGGATGGCCTTGGCATGGGTGCTTAGCATGCCTTCCCCCAGTGTTGGCCCGGGGCACTAGGGCAGGCCGGGTGGAGCAGCAGGTGCAGTATTGGTGGGAGGATGGGTTGCTGGGAGAAGGTTGGGAGGGCCAGGCCAGGACAAGGGGGTGCCAGAGCCATGACCACTACCGTGCCCCTACCCCTGCCTCTCCATCTCAGTATTCCCCTCCCATCACTTATAACACACATACCTCATCCAGCCTCCTCCCTGCTCAGACTTGGGGAGGGGGGGGGAGGAGGATCCCCTCCCCCTTCCCCGGGTGGTGGGTCTACAGGGCTGGGAGAGGGCAGGGCAGGGCGTGTGGCAGACACCGTCCATAAGGGGGAAAAAGTACGTCCTGCCCTAGGAACTCCTGGGTGGAGGAGGGGATACTACCCAGAGGCGCTACTGAATGTATGAGAAGCTGGTGCTGGGGTGGGGGGAGGGGGGGCCGTGGCTAGAAACAGGGAAGGAGATAGGTTCTTTCCCCAGAGACGGGTGGGACCGGTAGGGGTGACTTGAGGGGCTCCTACTCCTGCCCCACAGTTGACAATCAGTATGTCTGTTATGTGCGATTTTTCACCCCGTTGTGTTTTGGGTCAGGATTTTAAAGAAAGATATTTTTATGGTAATTGTTGCTCGTCTATTTTACTATATATTTATGTAATAAATATATGATGAAAATAACCCCCTCGTGGCCACCCCCCCCCCTTAGACTTGTGTGCTGTTTCCCCATATCCTCCCATCTGCTGGCAGAGTACCCACCCCACAAGCTGACCAGATGGAGAGGTGGCCCCCCCCCAGCCTTGGCAGCAGTCCCCTCCACCCCCATCCCCCCAAACGAGCACACATCACAGAAGCCAGCTCAGCTGTGAACTATTGGATTTGAGACAGGAACTGAACAAATTGGGGAGCCAGAGGAGGGCGGGAGAGCAAGAGTGGTTTAAATAGAGGAGGACGGGGGAGCATGGTGCTGGGGGAGGGAGGGGAAAGAGTTATTTACAAGAAGGCTCAGGGGGCCAGAGGCTCATCTTGGAATATTTTATAACAATATAAATAAGATTCTGGTTTGCTTTTCCTTTTCGTCTCGTAAAGGAGAGAGAAGTGCAGAGTTCGATTCTGTACAAGGGGGCAGCGGCAGAAGGCCGGCCGGGCGGGTCACTGGGCGTCCACCCGGAAGGACAGCAGCTTCTCGGAATGCATGTTGTTCAGGGTCCGCAGGTCCGGCAGCTTGAGCAGCAGCTTGGTGAAGCGGGAAGTCTCCGAGGGCCGGTTCTTCAGCACCAGAGCCCGAAGAGCCCGCAGCAGCGTCTCCTGGAGCTGCTCCACCGAAGCGGAATTCTCCATTCCCGAGCGGTCTGTGGGGAAGACGACAGCAGTGAGGCAGGCTCCCTGAGCTCCTCTTCCTCTGACGAGGACACGGAGGTCTGCAAGGACCTGGCAGGCGAGGCAGCCTCTCCCTGAGGCCCCTTGGAGGGCAGATGGGGAAGGAGAAGGAAGGTGCTCCTCCTCCTCCCAGGCCTGTGCCCCGAAGCGGGACATGCCCAGATGCTGGGAGCAAGGCCACAGGCTGGCTACCTCCCACCCCTCGAGACCACCCTTCTACCCTGGGCAGGCCACACATGGCCAAGCTCCCTTGCTCTTTGCTCTGTAGCTCCCTCTGCCTGGGATGCCCTCCCCCTCTCTCTGCCTGGCAATATCTTGTCCCTTTGAGGCCCTACTCAAGTATCACCTCCTTCCCCAGCTCTCCCAGGCAGAAATAGTTGTCTGTGCTTACTCGGTTCATGCTTCTACTGTGACACTTATCTCACTGTTTTATAATTAGTCGGGCATGAGTCTGTTTCCCCGAGCTAGACTGTGTCTGAATCATGTCTGTACCCCAGTGCCCAGTGCAGGGCCTGGCATAGAGTAGGTACTCCATAAAAGGTATGTTGAATTGAACTGCGTGTGCCTCCTCCAGGGTCAGGGGAGAGCTTTGGCCTACCTGCAGACACCAGCACCACTGCGGTGAAAAGGCCCAGCTCCTCCTCGGTAAGCGCCAGGGAGTTGAGCTTCTCGCTGAAGTCAAACATGGCATTGAGCAGATCGCCCATGCCCATGGCGCTGAGCTCCTGGAGACTGTAGGTTGTGCGGCTCAGGAACATCACTGTCTGGTCCTTCACGTTGAACAGAGATGCAAAGCGCACCATGAGCACCTGCAGGGGGAGTGAGCAGCAGTCACGTAGAGTGAGGTGGGAGGAGCAGCTGCCCTGTGACCCCTCAGGGGCGTGGCCTTAGACTGGGATCCAGGTAGAGGTGCCCACTAGCTCTGAAATGTCCATTTAAACAAAGGCCATCTGCATCTGTCTACAGGAGGGGAACAGGGCATCTCAGGTTACTCTGATGCCCTGAGTTTAGAGCAGACACCAGCTTAGAGGACGGAAATCCCACAGACCCAGAGGCGGTGGCAGAGGGGGACCTTCCCACGGTCAAGAGCAGAGAACGTCAAGTGTTGCTCACCTCGAAGGTACCGGCCTTAAGCAGGGTCACCTGGTCATGCTGGGAAAGGTCCCGGAAGCCGGGGATGTGCTTGGCGAACTCCACCACCTCCCGCACAGCAGGTGTGAAGCTCATAGAGAAGTCTTCCCAGATCTCCTGCACAGTCCGGCCACTGCGTCCATGGGGATACATGTTCATGGGACATGCCTAGGGGGAAGATGGAGGAAGGAGGGGGATGTCAGCCAGGCGGGCTCCCCTGGGCTCCCCAGTGGGACTGCTGTCCAGGTTCTGCCTGGGCTAAGAGCTGTAGCCCTCGAGGATGGGCCTCTCACCTAGAATAGCAACCAGCTGCCAACTGGTGATTAAGGATTCCCAGGCAGAACCCAGACGTCAGGGTAGAATGTCCTTTCCTGTCCACCCTCAGACTCCAGGAATACCGGCTGCCTTACTCTAGGTCCAGTCTTCCAGGCCCCCTCCCTCTCTCCACACTTGGCTCCATGCCCTCACCAGCAGAACATTCTTGGTGTTGCCTTGCCGTAGACTGTTGGCAGGTGCCTCGCCATCCGGGGCCGAGTATGGGTGGGTGGGGCACAGACGATGCCCGTTGCTGTTGGGTTGGTGGCAGCTGTGGTGGGCAGGGCCAGAGGGCC